CGAGTCTTCTCGCTTGAATATTGTGAGCTTTGCTTTACACACTGTCTTTGCCTCGCTTACAAAATAGCATCCATACACGTTGACCCCATATTCGGGTCCCGTATGTACACAGGAAGAGCAACCGCTTCTCTGTCCCCTCCCCTAACGGCCCTCTGCGACCCACCCCCCCCTTTGTTCCTAGACCTCCCCTTCCTCTTCGTCCTCCTCCTCGTCCTCCATCAGGTTCCGCAACGAGGACGAACACGTCCGCACGACCAGCAAGGTGCCCAAGTACGCTCCTACTCCCCGCCGCAGGAGCAACGCCAGGGCGCCCGCCCCCACCAACACATACTTCCCGGGCAGCACCCCCCCCCCGCCCACGACGCCGAGGCCAGCACTATCTGCCAGGCGGACTCGGCCCAGGCCCGCGCCATCAGCCCTGTCAATCGCGACCACCGGCGTCCTCGCGGGCCCAGCAACGTGCGTGACCGTTGACGCAACGTCGCCGCTTTCTCCGCCCTCCGGCTTCCCGCTGGCGTACGCCGGGGCCGGTCCGAGTCCACGCCAGCAGTGGTGGCCGCCATCATGGCCCCTCGAGCCACGCCCCTCGCCCGAGTCGCCCACTCCCAGGCCGTCTCCGCCTTCCGCGAGACCCCTTCCAACACGCGCAGCGCCAGGTCCCTGTCCTCCCCCCCGTCCCACCCTTCCTCCTCCCTCGATGCCCGGCGTCGGGCCCGGCCCGCGCCTCGCCGGCGGCTTCCAGCGCGTGCACGTCCGGGAGCTTGGCTGGGCTCGGCGCTTTTGGGGCGGACGCCGGGAGGGGGGATAGGGGCAAAAGGGGCCCTATCCTGTGTCCATGGATCCCCGGCGTGATCCTCGCCGTCCCTGTGCCGTCCGCGAGGGTCGGCCCTGCCCCTCAGAGACGCCGCCGCCCGCAATGCCCGCGACCGGAGGGCTCCCAAATCCTCCCTCACCCGGGCTAGATCCACCGGTTCGCCCTCCTCCTCCATCCCATCCGCCTCCACTTCCCTCTCTGACCCGCCCGCCTGCTCTGTGCCCTTCTCTCCCTCCAAACGCGCGTCCCAGAGCCCCGCCGCCGCTTCCGCCATGGAAGCGCCTCCTTCGTACGTCTCGACCCTCAAAACAGGCTCCAATGCCTCTCCCGTGTCGCCCACCCTCATGGCGCCGACTCCGGTGTCCTCGCGCCCCCTCGGTCCCTGTCCCCGGCCTTCCGACACCACCGAGCGGGCCAGGAGCCGCGCGAGCTCGGTGTGACTTCCCGGGGCTTCCGCTGCCCCCCCCTCGTACCTCACGCGCAAAAATTCCAACTCAACCACGATCTCCTCCTTGGACAGGCTTCCCGCCCAGGCCAAGGCGTCGGCGATCGAATGGAAGCGAGGGAGGGCGGCAGCAGCCACGCTGGGGGGGGGGAGGCGGGCGCCTGGTCAATGGGCCGGTGGAGGCTGTCCCGGCCTCCGAGGCGGAGAGGACCGGCAATGGCGCCAGAGACGGTGGCGCAAACGAAACGGACGGAAGGCGGGTTTCCAAATCGCCTCGTGGTGGTGTCTGGGAGACATTTTTTGCCTGCGACGCCAGAGCGACAGCTTCCTCTTTCCGTTCCGTCGCGCCTGGGAGAGGCCTTGATGAGCTCGCGGTCCCAGTCGACGCCACCCTCTCGCTTTTCGTATTTACCTTTCCAAGACGTGCCTGGTATAGGAGGGCGTCAAGCTCTTCCCTGGGCTGCAGGACATTGAAGTCCACTCGGCGTTGGCCGAGTTCCCTTATAACCTCCCACAAAGGGAGGGAGGCCTCAGACGAGGTTTCGGCCTCCAAGTCCAGACTTTTGGTGCCAGCGAGTCGCACCAAAGAGAAGATTCGGTACTTAGGTCTGACAGAGTGCGGATCTTCACGAGAGCCTGCGGTCGCAAGGTCTCGCGACAGCACAAGTGCCAGGAACGACTCTGTTTCAGGCGAGTTTTGAAGGCCCCATGGTCGCGGACTCTGAAGGAGGGGATAAATTGGACGGAAAGCAGCGACAGGCGACAAGCATATGCCTGTAGCCACTGCAATAACTAGAAATGCCGCAAGCCGGAGGGGCTCGCGGCGTATTCTCATGGCGCTGGGGTATGTTAGAGGACCGGTCGCGCCTCTTCCGCGCTCCGCTCCTAGCCCTCCTCGAGCCGGCCTGTCGCATGAAAGAATGGGCTAGGCACTTCAATATCAAGCCCAACAAGACTCACGCAGCTCGACAATGTCGGCCTTTGAAACGCCTCGAAGCATCAGGTCTTTGTCCCGAATCATCCTGAGGTATGGATGCAGGGGATGTTCGGACTCGCGAAGGCCGAGTCCCGACCTGGACTCAAAATCAAAAAAACAAGATGGGAACTAGTCCAATCTGAGACCGATTAAAACAACAAAATTTAGGACGTGTAAGGGCCACGGAGGCTCCTGGTGTGTTTTTTTAGGCTATACGACAAGTGATTGAGTTGCCTGGCCTACGGAACCAGAGAGGTCAGTGCGACCGTCGCACAAGGGCACGGGTCGGAGCGCCTGAGCGCTTTTGTCTTCCTTTCATTATTTCAGAGGAAAATCTTTCTGAAAGCTTGTTTTTCGAGTAATGTTGGGTATCAGTCCGATTTTGTGTGCATATGTTTGTTTTCTGGTTCCATTGTGAGCATGGCACAGTATTGTTCACTTGTTTTTTTTCCCTCTTAACCTCCTGTTGCCTTCATTTCTCACTAACTGCTTATCCTAAACTTCCTTTTGCTCGACGGACCTCCACTCGAACCACATTTCCAACACATTTTAGCTATTCAGCGTCCAGCTTCGGCTCCTTTTCCTCCGCAAGCTCATCCCATAACGCATCAAACCCTCAGAAGCCCTCACCACCTGTCAGCTGGACGAGCATCGCGGATGAGGAAGTCAACGAGTTTCGCAGTAATCCGCGTCTGTGCTTCCGCTTGGTCAATGAAACTCTCTGGTTCACCTTAAGTAGGTTTGTGCCGGCACTGCTGCCGGTCGTACTGTTGCCCCGCCCGGCATGGCCCTCTCCGTGCTGAATGGTATGCGAGAACCCCCCGCCTGCGATCCATTTTTGGCATTTTATGCAGGTATCACTCGTCCTTGTGGTCCTTTAGCGTGCTGCAGAGGTAGGCAGAGTATCGAAGCGACCGATGCCATGTCCCTCCAGCGTGCTGCATGTGGGCGAGAGGCTGAGCGAAGGCGAAAAATATCGGTAACCTCTTGAGGGTTCCGGATGTGTAGTGGTGCCCGCCCGCTCCTCGCGCTCGGACGAGAGAGGCCTCTGGAGAAGGGAGGCAGGAGGTGGCGGGTCAGAAGCCTTTGCATTCTCGCGCAGGAAGAGGGGAAGGTCTCGAGGAATGGCAGGAAAGAGGAAAAGAGAGAATCCGGTTGCGGTGTCCACCGCGTGTATGTTTCCGACTGGCGGACTGGAACAGACTGGGGGTCAGACAGTGATTGCAGCGGATGTGGAGGGATCGTCTGACGAAGGCGGCGAAGCCTGCGACGGGGGGGGCTGGTCGTGTGCCTAGGATGCTCTGTGCGTGGGAAGGCCCCGTAGGGAAGTGACTTCTGCACACGACGCGAAAAGCAAAGAACAAGTGGATAATGCGTGGTGACCGATGACGGGACACCGCAAGCGCTCTTCATGGCGCGTATGGTGACCTTGCTCGGACTCGGCGAATACTATCTGTGCACGAGGATCCCATGATCCACCTCGTTTCGTATTGTATGATAATACAGAGGTTCATCTGTCTTTGTTACAACTTTGTCATTTGTCAAAGCTGACGCGCTTAGGTCTCGCGTCGAGCGTCCTATTCTTCCGCCATGTGCTCGCTTCCGCTAGCCTCTTCATCGTCCAAAATCACTACCTTGCGGCCACGGCCGCCCCTTCGTCCTCGCAAGCGAGCCGGCACACGCGTGTCCGCCTCCGCTATCCCTCTCCCATTTCCCTTCACCGACCCTTCCTCCCTTTCTTCGCCCTCGTCGCTGCTGCTGCCGCCGCTGCTACTACTGCATTGTCCGAGAGATTTTTTGCGTTTTTGGACGCGCCTCATCTTTTTGGATGGGGAGAGTGCTTTTGTCCTTTGCGCTTCCTTCCGATTTACATCAGCATTCGTACCCTCGCACAGGCGTGCATTCCCACCTTTTCGCGAGCCCTTTCTAATCTTCCTCGCATTCTCGATCTCCATCGTCTCCGCTCCCTCTTGTCCACTTTCTGTGTTTTCCTCCTTTTCCAAAGCTATCGATCCTCCGGGCTTGAGATCCGCCACCGCCCTCTGCAAGCGTTTCGACTTGATCTTTGCGAATTTGACATTGTCCTGATATCCCAAAAAGTACGAATCCAGTCTGCTTTGCCAGACGGTTTCTTGCATACGTCTTAGCATGGGCAACAGGTGGCTGTCGGTCTCACTGACCGGCCACCCTAGTTTCTGGGCCAAATGGACGCGCAGGCCATCGAGATCTGGCACGCCCCACGTGAATGAATCGGTGGATGCATTCACTTGAGGCTGTAAGTAAGCTCTGTAGATGGCCGGATCCGGGAAGCGCTCAGTCACGACCCAGCGTGTCCGCGCGCTTTTGTGCTTGCTGTGGAAGGCCTCTACTTTCTGTGTGACCCACGCTGCTCTCCTCCTCGTCGAGCCTCCTTCTTCTCCTGCCTTGTCTACCGCTTCGTCCTCCTCCCTATCATCGACGAGCTTCCGGTCAGCGCGCAAGCTCAGGTCGCCCAAGGGATCAAAGCCGTCCAGCCAGGCTTTGAAGTGCTGCAGCCCCTCCTCTGGCTTTCCCCCCCTTACCTCCGTCTCTCCTTCTCCTTCTTCCCGCGGGGCGAAGGCCCGGACCACCTCCATCGCATTGACGATGCCCACGCCTTTCACGCCCTCCGTGTAGTCGCTGCCCAACAACAAGGCGAGAGACACCAGATCCACCCGCTTCAGACCCAGCTCCCTCTCAAGGTCTTCGGCCCGGTACGCCTCTACGTACTTTCGTTCGTCGAATATATTCTTGTAGACAGCGCGGGCCCCGAAAAGGAAGGAATCGCTGTCGTCCGACACCACCCCGTCGACCAGCCCCAGGGTCTCCAGCACGGCGCACTGGGCCTCCGCCTCCATGGGCGCCACCAGGTAGGGGACACCGAAGAGCTGCAGCAAGTGCATGATATCTTCCCGCATCTCCTGGGAGACGGTCTCCGCGTCCCGCAGCTCCTTGCGCATCCGGCTTCTGAGGGCGGCCTCGTCATCCAGGTCTCTGCTCATATCCTCGTACTCCTCGGTCCCCTGCCCTAATACGTCGTCGCTGCCAGTCAGGGACATGCCGGCATGGCTTACTTCGGACGCGATGGCCAGTGATTCCACCTTCCCCTCCTCTTCCTCCTGCTCCTTTGCATCTTCCGCATGGGCCCTCGCCTCTGTCTGGTCACATACTCTCCCTGCATTTCCAAGGCCCATGACGTCCTGTCCCGTGCCTAAGCCTCCCCACTCCGCGACCGGCTTCGGTTCCTCACTTTTCCTCACCGTCACACTCGCCTCTTCGAGATCCCTCCGGCCACCTGAGTCCGCATTCGCAGGCTCAAGCAATGTCAGCAGAGACCCTCGGCCGGCCTCCGCGCTCACGCCACTGCCTCCTCCAGTCGGTCGCGACCAAGCCACGCCTGTGGGAGCCTCAGCCGCCTCTGTCGGTGCAACCATGCCCGGAAACGTTGTTCCTACTCTGACATCCCCATCAATGTCGACTGTCATCCCTTCTTCTCCCAGGCTCTCGTCCCTCTCTTCCTCCGCCGACAGGTCTTCCTTGTCGTCCCCACCCTCCCACTCTATGTCGTCTTCCTCCCCTTCCTTGTCCTCATCATGATCGCTCCCCTCGTCTCTCCCTCGCTGCAAGAACGGCAGGGTTTCATCCCACGATGCCTCCTCCTCAACTTGGCCCTCAGCTTTCTCTCTCCCATACATCTGTCCTCCCCGGGTCGGCGGCAAGGATGCTGGAGGGTCCACCCCAGGCGCCGCCATCTGCACGTGTTGTTGGATCGCTCTCCGCACCGCCACTCCCGCCCACGTGGTCAAGCGCGATGCGGTCGCCACCGCATTTTGGAAAGCTTCCTCGGTGGGGAGCACGGACTTGGACAAGGAGGAGGAAGGGGAGGAGGCGGGGTTGGCACCGGCCGTCCTCGGATCCCTCAAGCCCCCCCCACGTGCACTGACCGGGGGGGCTGTCTTTCCAGGAGAAGCCGAGGGTGGGGCACGAGACTGCTGCCCCTTGGCTGGCAAAAACACGGGTGTGAGATTCCCGGGGCCCGGGCCCGATGGACGCGCTGGAGCGGGAGGGCGGTCGGGCGCCAGGGCCGCGAGGAAATCTCCCAGGGAGGCGGCGTCGTCCACGCTTGCGGGGGCATCGGGGAGGGACAAGACCAAGCCTCCGGTCTCCCTGTCGTCAGCTTCCTTCGGTCCCTTCGCCGTCGTCAACGAGCCAAGCGTCGGCAACGGCCGCATGCCTCCCTCTTTCTCCTCTTCGACGCCAGGCACGCTTGCCTGCCCGTCGTCGTCGACCGCCTCGACCGCACTTGCACCCCGCCCCTCTCGCCCTCCCCGGCTTGCCGCTTCCTCCAGAGACATCCTCACCGCCAGGGCCATCTCCCGTTCCTCCTCCTCCAGCCACTGCTCCGCGGTGTTCGCCCCCGCCCCGACTCCTTCCCTGCTCGCATCCATCCGACCCGACGAGGAGTCGTCCCGGGGAAGGGGGGCACCTGCCTCCTTCATCACCACCAGTCCGCATTCTTCGTCACCACCCATCACCCTCGGACCGCCCTGCACGCCCCCCTCGGTCGCTCCGTCCTCCACGCCCTCCTCCCCCTCCGACTCCGGGAGAAAGCCTCCTCCTCCCATCGACCCTATACCCCCGCCCCTCCCCTCGTCGCCGCGGCCATCTATGTGCTCGTCTTCGGGGAGAAACCCACCGCCCTGCACCAAGTCGACCGCCTTTTCCCCTCCTCCGTCCCTCCCATCATCCTCCCGAAGGCCTCCCCTCGACCACCCGCCTTCGCCCACCCCCGCGAGCCCGCTGCTTTGGGGCGCATGCCCTGGCCTCGACCACACGGCCTCGGTGGTATCTTTACAACCATCTTGAAACTCTGCGCGCTTAAGCCCAGACGCATCTCCATCAGGCTCCACCATACAGGTGCCGGAACCGGCAGAGCTCTCGGGCTGGTCCTTGCCGCCTGCCCCGATGCCTCCCTCGTCGCGATTGCCATCATCTCCTAGCACCTCGCGCAGACTCGAAACCTTCTGGTTGAGTCGGGAGCTTTTCAAGAAATTCGAAATTTGCGCCTGCGAATACAGGGCGGGATTGCCTGCAACCGGCATGAAAGCTTGGCGGGAGAGCAATCGCTGCCGGCGTTTGGCCGATTCAACGACGTCCTTCTGCAGCTCAGGCGGGAGAGAGGCCAGCACCATCACGTCCACATTGTCGTCTTCGAGAAGAATGTCCCCGACGTCGTCGGTCCCGCTGTCTTCTTCCTCCTCCCACTCCACCTCCTCCTCCTCGTCACTTGCAGCAGCCGGCAAGGCCTGAGCGAACGCTGCGGCCGCACTTCTTTGCCGTATCGAGCCACCATCACCATTTATACCATGGCCATAAACCTTCTCTGCACCCTTTCGGGCATCCTGGCTCCCATCCCCGGCCACAAATTCCTCCCGCCCCGCCACCTCGGCGTCCGGAGGATCCCTTGCCTTTTCAGGAGCCCCGGGGATGAATCCAGCGGCAAAACCAGCCTCCGCTCCCAATGATCCTACGGGCTCTAAATCCGCTTTTTGCTTTTTATTCTTCCCTGAGGCTCCTGTTAATACAGTGCTCCCAGAAAGGATGTGTTGTTTTTTCAACTGTGCCAGGAGCAGGCGCTGGGCTGTCTTTCGCACGCTCGTCTCTTGATCTTCACGACGGCGCTTTCGAGACATCACTGTGCGTCGTTTTATTTCCGGTGTACCTCCGTCAAAAACAAAAATGGGACGAATGCGGTAGAATAACAATTTTACAATGCGCCGGAATGTGCCAATGATGTGCGCGTTTTTAACCACCTTCCCTTCGTCGTCTCGCATCGCTTTAATAAACTGCGTAAGCCAAATGCTCACATCGATAGCTAATGTTTTCCTCTCCAAAGACTCCACATTCACACGCCTGCCCACAGGCAACAGCAATTGCCACAAGTTATGTACTCCCATCTTGCTCCTTTCATTCGCAGAGTTACTTGGTGTGGAGCCTGGAAAAGAAGCAGAATAATGAATTAGTATCCTATCGACTTTTGAGTGGATACACGTCAAGATACATGCCACCATCATCAGGCCGGAGATAGAGAAGACGGGTGAGTTATTGATAAAAATTGCACTAAAGTAGCGATTAAGTATTGCGAGCAACGGCAGTCGCCGCTTAACGCAAACTTGCGACAAATCGCTGTCGATGTACAACTAGAAGAGAAGGTGTCCGAGAGAGCAGCAGGGACGGGAGGTTAAAATAAAGTGCAGCACAAACAAAACAGGATGTACGACACAGACCTATTTACATTATTGAATGCTTATCTATGCTATGAGTACATGTCTCTGCAGTTCCACTGACCAATTTCTTCGCTATGCGTCGACAAGAATGGAAGCGTGAAAGCGTCTATCAAAATTTGGTCACTGGACTCGGACAACCCAAAGTGCAACACTGGCTGAATAACTAGACACATACTTTCAACAACTTTCGCTGCAGTCCAAAATTAGACAGAGGCCTTCGCAATCGATACCTTCAGCCGGACCTTTGAATTGCTTTTCATGATGGCCTTGCGGGATTCCAGGCACATCTTCCGCTCACTTCGCTCCGTATCTGAGAGGTCTTCCAAGGACAAGGACTTGTTACCTGCAACGTTTTCCTTCCTACCACCACCAGGCTGAGCGCTTAATCGCCGGGCTCGTCGGTCTCGCCACACTCTCCAGTCATGGTCGTCGAAAAGTGTGGATCGCAACGAGAATACTCCATCGGCGCGCAGACCCAAAAGCTCCATGTATACATCCTCCAGTCCGATAAATTCTTTAAGCTCGCTGGAACCGGCTTCATTGGTCCCCAACGGGTCTTCTTTGTCATGCAACTTGCTTTCTTCCAGAGGCCGGTATCCCCAGATTGCCTGAAACAACCACAAAGCCATCCCACGCAGCGGTTGGCTGTACCAGCTTTCCGTCGTTATGAACTGCCACATCTCTTTTCGGACGTCTTCATGAGGCCCAACAAATTCAGCCGATCGCAGCGAGCTCAAATACGGATTCTCTTTGGATTTCAAGGAAGCATTGCTCGCAACGGCAGCATCTAGTTCATCATATGCCTGACCGTTGGTAGCGAGGTGATCAAGGAAGTGTGTCGGCGCCAACGCAAGAGGCGCGTTGAAGTTCAGAGCATCCGAACGATAGTTCAACGGATGCCGGAGTGCCTCAAAGAGAACCTGAAGGGCCTTATAACAAAAAATAATGGATCCGCATGCCTTTTCGTGCTTCAGGATCGTCAGCACCCAATGCAATGCCTTTCGAGGCCCCTCAATCCCTGCTCCTGCAGCCTCAGCCGCACTTGAATCGGTATCGAAATGCTTCGCCTCCTGAATCTGCAATCTTACCACAGCCTCCAGGGCGGCCAGTCGCAATGGTACGAGAGATGAGGGATCGGACAGCGCTTTTTTGCTGAGCACCTGGTCGGGGATGCTTTTGACGTACTGCAAAAATTCGACAGCTTTAGCCTGGCTTCCTCCCCTAACGAGCTCCAAGTTCCACAAGGCTCGAAGTGCCGCAGCTTCCACAGCATGGTCATAAGAGCCAACTTCCTGGTGCCAGATCAGATGTCGCATTACTTGCGGGTGTAGATTCTCCACCAGACTTGTTCCCGAACGCTCCTCGGATGAGTTGACGCGGAGATTGGCAACAGCGAAGAGTACGGTCCTGAGGAAGGCAGAGTCGTCAAAGGGGTTGCGAGAGTTGTCATGGCCTTCCAAGACGCTGCGAAGGAATTCCCAGACCATCCGCGGGGAGTATCGGTCTTTGCCGCGGACAAGGGATATCGCGTAAAGTAAGGCCTTCTGTAGCTGGTACTCTGCCTCATCCGTGAAGTCTGCGGGCAGAGGCACCCTTGATGTGGCATCGAAGTAGCGCTCCCGATAAGCGCAAAAAAGGAAATCCAAACCTCGCCATCCTGAATCTGCTGTTATCATGGATCCTGGCGCGTGGTTGCTCTGCCAAGCCGCCAGCGCCCGAGCCGCCTCCATGCGCACGTTCAAGGAGGGCTCCACCCACCCTGGCCCCTGCTTGCCTCGCACGCAATCGCTCATGGCCTGGGCCGCCAAGCTGGGTCGTAGCGTCGTGCCCGATTGAACGCTGCCAACTAGCGCTGTTGTGTCTTGTGTGGCTTTGGGATAGCTTGTCAGGGCTCGGAGAGCCAAGCATTGCGCGGCGGCGTCCGGGTCGCGATGAAGCTGCTCCAAGAAAATGTACTCCGGCAGGTTCTCCCATTCCCATTCCGCTATCCATTGCAGATCCGGATCCAATCTCAACCAAACGACGGGACAATAGTGCTCCCGGCGTGAAAGTGTGTAGTCATCATCCTCCTGCCGTGAGCCTCTAACCCCACCCGTCAACGTTTCAGACACAGACGGGGTAGCTGATCCTCCGGCAAGCGCTTGTTCCTGTTCTGCCGAAATAGCTTCTGCGGCTGCATTCGCCTTTTTCCGACGTTTTTTGGGCTTCGGAGCATCCGTTGCGGGATCGCCTCCATCGATGCCTGAAGGCGTATCAGCATCATCATGCGCTCCAGCTTTGGCGGCTTTCTTCGCTTTGGAACCCGCCTCAGGTCCTGGATCTTTCTCCGACAAGTTCGCCGAGATTTGCTGCTTGCGCTGCCGACTGCCCCCCACCTTTCGCACCTTGGAGTGGAGCTTGAATGAGAAGACGTGCTCGGCCTCACTTATGTCCCTGTCGTAGTCGTAGGGACCTCCATCCTCCATTATGCGGATGCGAAGAGGGCCCGTGAAAAGGCGCCCCCAGGGCGGAACAGTCTGTCTCAAAGTGATAGTCAATTCAGGCTTGGGAGCGCGACGGTCAAAGGCATGAAAAACCGAGAAGTAGGCCGGACCCCGACCCTCCAGCCAGCATTCCCGCAGGTTCTTGATAAAGTCGCCCCGACTGCTGGTCTTGAGGCAGAGGCGGAGAAAGCCCAGCGTCTTTAATGCCTGCGGGCGGACGGTCCCAGCGGACACGGGAGTCACGCCGGCAGCATGCTTGGGAGAGGATGCAGACGGGTCAGGATCATCCATGTCGCGTGCTGCCGCCGCGTCCTGGTCGATGCCGTCTGAAGGCTCGCCTGTCGAGCTTGCGGCCGCCGGGGGTGGGCAGGCCACTGAGCGAAGAACGTCCCGCAAAGGCTTACGCCCGACGCGCTGCTCGATCATGTGCATGATGATCGGGGGCTTCACACGAACCAGCTCTAGATTTGCAGGACTGTACATCTCCCGCGCCAGAAGCAGAGAATCAGGGGGCAGCAAAGGCATGCTCTGACCCTCCCGCTCAAGCGCGATGACGGCGTCCATGAGCCGCAGGAGCCGACACCGGTATTCGTGTTCGCCCAAGCGTCGTCGCACATACAAGAGGAGCAGGTAGCCTAGCACGCCGTGGAAGATCCAGCGGTCGCGGCTGAAGCGGGGCCGGAGGCGAGGGAGCAGCCAGGACGCGAAGAAGGCCTCGGCCATTCCTAGGTGAAGGGCCATGGAGGAATCGAAGACCCGGCAGGGGTGCAGGTCCCCCGCGCGATGCAAGGAGAGGCCGTGAAAGGCGATGGCGGTGTCGGGCAGGCCCCTGACGAAGACTGTGCGATGGGTGAGGCACGGAGACGAGCTGGCAGGACGGGGACCGAGGATTGTGCCGTTCTTGGCTGGGGGTGCTGCTGCGGCCCCGCCCGGCGCAAGGTGGAAGAAGTCTGCCAAGAAACTCAAAGCAGGACCCATACCCTCAACGCTGTGCGCGACCCACGACCGCGGCGGCGGCGGCGGGGAGGAGGCTGGCGTTGCTTCAGATCCCCCTCCACAGTCCCTCTCGGCAACGGAAGACCCTGTGGCCGCACCCCTCAAGAGATAGTGGTGCGAGACCCGTGGCACCTCCCTATCCACGTACCGTCCGAAGTGACCTACTACCAGAGAGACAGCCGACGCGGTGATTGGCGTCTCGATGGCATAGTGCCATTCCGTCGCCTCCTCGCCCGACGTCATTCGTTTGCCCACAAGCTCCCCCCCTCCCACCAACACGATCGGCGGGCGGGCGTTCCTTGCCGTGTTAGGATGGGTACAGTCGCCACACAAATCTGTTCTGAAGCCGTCAACAACGCCGTCTGTCGCACCCTTTTGATCAGAGTGCCCCAAGCTGCCAGTGTTCCCCCTCTCCCCCCCTTCCGCTCCATTTGCCTCGCCCACTCCAGAAATAGAGCAAGGAACAGATATGATCATGTCCAGCGTAAACACGTCCGTAGTGCGGTCCGCACAGGGGAACCAGCAGCGAGGTCCATCGACGTCGTGAAGCACACTGGGACAACGCACACTGTACGCATGCGCCGGCTGGCTCTCGAAGCGCAGGCCTGCCACGGGATGATCCAGGCTGTACGTAATGTCAACTTTGGCAATGCGAAGAGCAGCCGCCTGCGCATTTAATACAACTTGAGGAAGGATGTCGACGTCGTCTCGGTGGGAGGGGGCCCAGGTCTGGCGTTTGGGTAGCTGCAGTCCGAGCTCTCCTTCCTGCGAGGCGATGAGCTCGCACCTATAGTGCATATCCAAGGCATCGTAGTCCAACGAGGTCTCCGCTATCTTTTGGCCCTCCTCTTTGTCACCAATCTCTTCCCTTTGGCAAGGTACGAAGTCTCGGAGTAAGTCGACAGGATGCGGGTATACGTAGGACGCCACCTCGTCGTTCACCCTCACTTCATGGATTTCCATCTGCCGCGCGTGCAACCGGTACGTGAAAAAGTCTCCCTCAGCCGGCGCCCCGACATCAGCTGGCGGTGAAGGCAGCAAAATCCATAGAGTGGCATGCCCCCGCACGTGTCGTTGGGCTATGTCCACATAAAGCCGGAGGGTCTCGTGCAGGACCTCTGCCCGCATCGCCAGCCCGCCCGCCGTCGCCATGGCCTGGTCCCTTGAAAGGGTAAACAGGAGCAATACAGCTGTGGGGGGAGGAGTGGGGGCATGCACATGTGACTTATGAGTTCGTGCATGGTCCTGGCACATTTCCGCGTTAAACACAAAGAGCTCTACCCATGTCCCCACCAGGCCCCATCGCAGCAGGAAGTGGGAGACGTCCGAGAGGACCTCAGCGAGTCGCTGAAAGCGGGCAGGAAAGTGGGCCATTAAGACATATAAAAGGAACAGGCAACTATGCACTCAGGGAGAACTGCATGCGATTAAGGACGGTGGGAGCCTTTAAAAATATTCGTGATGCAAAAGGTAATGCTTTTGGACCGCACACTCACCATCAAGATACTCTTCTCTTATTTCCGGATCCTCATTTACTCTACTTCTGTTGCAGTAAACGAGACACAAAGACATGGCCGAAAATGTATGTCACGACGAGCGATGGAGCCTTCACAACTAAGCCTTGAATGGTACTAATGCTTGTTTGTTCATTTCTTTACGTAACTTTATGTATCCGCAGTATCTTCGCATCAGCTTGCTGACATATCGACAAGTCTTGTGATGTTGACGTCTAATCTATAAATATTTCGTTTTAAGCGTGAGGGAACGACTTGAAATAGTGGAAGAGTATAACATGCCTCCTCCTCCTCTGGCTTTCCATATTCCGTCGCAGAAAAGGCAGTCGCTGCTGCCGCTATGTGCTCAAATCCCAAGGCTTGCATTAAATGACCCGATCCCGGTACTTTTCCGATATTGTCGAAGAAAAACTTGCTTCGTACGCGTATGAGCCGGAATTTTGTATTGCTAGGATCTTTTAAACAATTTTCGAGATAACGACGGGCTGCACGCAATACCGTCAGCACCGTGGATATGTCTTCTCCTGTCCATCGCAAGAGTTGACATGTGGCGCGGTCTACCCGGCAAGACGTGTGGACTCCCCATGCGTCCGCGGGTAGACTCAATGTTGACGCCCATAAACTTGAGCTTTCCAAACTACCCAGCCTAATAATCATACCCAAACTGTGTAAGCCGTGCTGCCCCAAGGTGCCCCAAAAAGCAGTGACTTGCCACCCGGGGGGTACGGAAATATCGCTTGTGCGACTGCCGGCGGACTCCGTTACACCGACAGAGAGCTCGCGACAGGCAGTCGTTTTAAAACACAGCCCCACAATACATTCATCGCTTTTTGAGATTTTGATTTCCGTAAAACCTTCCTCGGTACCAAGCACGATCTCGGTAGTGGCTGCATCAGGAGAAAATGTCGTCGATGCCGCCGATCCTGCTAAACAATGGTGTACTGGCGCCCACAGGAGAAACGGGCTACCAGATTTTAGATGTCCATACCCTGCTTGAAGCCCTATAATGCCATTGGATGAGCTCCACACGCGCAGTCGCTGCAGTCTTAGTATCGGAGCGCCTTGTTGCCTCTCCACCATGGCCTGAATAGGCGTTGCGACCTCGAAGTCGTCGAATGCTTCGATTGTACCACGACAAGAGCGCAATCGATTTTCGCTGAGAGAAATATAGCGCAATATCATGCCACCAGTATCTGGCGGCGCTTGTTGCAGCTGATCACCTCGCAGGCTATTCTCTTCTTCTCTATGCTTTGGCCCTTGCGGCGTGATGTCGTGTAACGCCTTGGCGGCAGCGACGTTAGGTTCCATACCTTCCGAAACCAAAAGATCAAAGAGCCGTCTGACACGCAATTTAATGTCATCTTCTGCAGATGGACGCGACGGCCAAGCCATCTCTGTAATCCATCCATCTCCCCTCCTTAAACCGCTTGCCTGGGCCATCCCTACCAATCCATAACCTGGTTTGTATGCGAATCCTTTCAATGGAGCTTTGGGAAAAGTGCTGCATAGAGTGTTGTAGATGTTTAAAGGACTGTCGCTTAATATGCCGTCGCCCAGAGGACCCAGTTGATGCATCACTGGTGTGGTAGCGATAGCGCAGTCCCATCTTGATGCTGCATTTTTACGAAATCGTGTTGGAAAGCTTTGATTCGATAAAGGGATGGTCACGAATACTTGTGCAAAATGTTGCCGAGGGCGTCCAAATTCGGTGACTGCTTTGATTCCAGCAAAGACTATGCAAGGTTGGCTGTGTTCGGGCCTTTCAGATGCACCCCCTCTAGCTATTTCCAACATGTACGCCGCCGCGTCCCAACATGCACGTGAGCCCTGGCCTAACATGACGCATAATACCAACTTTTCCTCCACGGCATGTTCCTTTAAAAAAAGGAGCGCTGGATTTTCGTCGTCCACGGATTCAGTTTCCTCCCCGGATGCACCGGATGCCTTGAACGCCACGCTTTGCTCTACGATGTGACAGGATAAGTTTAACACCACAACATTCAGTCCTCTGATTCCAACAGCCACTGGCATTCCATTCACTGTTATCGCTTCCGGACCGAAACCGGCTTTTGCGCCCAAACGAGCGACAGATTCTTTTGTCACCGAGCTAACCGAGGTGGCCGAGATGAACCAAGACCTCTGGCCTGGCACAGAAGGCCAGATTGGCATGCCTGCCATTTCCTCCCGCTCGATAGTTTCCATTTTATTCGACAATTTATCGCTCCCTTCTACCTTTCCTATCGAAGCCTGAGAAACCGACGTAACCGATGCCAAACGCCGATCTTGCTGTCCGGCGCTTGGCAGATCCGCACCATCCTCACCGCGTGCCCGCTTCCATGCTGCGTCGCCCGAGATTCGTCCCTGACGTTCAGACGCTTTGATATTCATCCCGCCGCCTGCGTCTTTCAACACCGTGAGAGAGTGC